TTAGCCCAGGATATGTAGGAAACCTTTGAAGCAAAGGTTCGGTCAAATCTTTTAAAAAAAAAATGCTTCACACGGAGTACTCAGATGGGCAAAAATCGATCGCTTTATCTTTGCACGAAAACCCTTCGTGTCTTCGGGCAAAGAGGGGCAGCTGTGTGATTTTTGCCCTATATGAGAATTACTCCCAAAAAATTCAAAAAATAAAATAATTTTCCTTGGTGTGCAATTTTGTGATATTTTGAATAATTATTTGTATTTGTCTGTGCATGTTTATTTGCTAAATTAATAAAAATCACGTAGATTTTAATCTCCAACAAAACGCCACGAAGGCTTTACTCTCCAAAACGGGAGTACACAAAACCACAAAGGTTTTAGTTTGCAGAATAATAAGAATAACACAAATACAGAAATAAATATTAAATTTCTTAAGATTGTTAGTCCCGCCAATATTGCTGTATTTGTAAATAATAATTCTGTAAAATATAAGTTATCGTAATGAAACAGTAATTAATTCGAGCCCACTGAATTCACAGTGTTTTCTTAAGGAATTTAATCCCCTCCTAGTACCCAAGGTTATTATGGAGCAAGCACTTGGCCATGGTGGGAAGAGCAGTATTGCAGCTGGTGGTCAATACACGGATTGGAACATATCCGTTACAAATGCGGATAATCTTACGTTAATATTTACTATTAACAAATAAATTTGGTGCCGAAGCCGAAAGCCGAAAGCCGAGCGAGCGACGACGACGGCGCGAGACTTGCTTTCTTCTTAACTCTTTAAGAGCTACAAGAAGAGCAATTATATATATACCACCAAAAATCTTTTCCTTTTCCAATATGGGACAATGTCTCATTGTCAAGAGGGAAAAACTAAAAATTTTACTCAAAAATTTTATTTTTCCTCCATTTCCCATTCACCCTCATTTTAAGACTATTTCATCTTAAATAACAAAAACCTCAACAAGTTGCATTTACCTCCATTAAATGAAAAAAGAGAAAGATAGAACTTGCGTTTTGTTATACTTCTTGTATCTTAAATTAGCTAACATTTAGACGTTTGCAAACTCTATAAATAGTAAAGAAAGAAAAGACTGTTTCACATTTTAAAAATATGATGAAAAGACTTTAGCCAAAAATAAAGAGTTTTACTTTCAAGTAAATGAAATAAGGCTTCGGCATTTCTTATTTCCAAGTTCCAACAGAAATTTCAAAATTGTCAAAACCGAAAACTCATTAGTCCTTAATTACAACCGGAAAATTTGCTTTTCAAGGTTTGCATGAAATTCAGTTGGGTGTAGGCGCCACGTCAAAATTCGAACTCTTTCACACCAATATCTAGTCTATGTGAATTTAGTAAAATACTTTTTGGTTCATATTATCTGTCTGTTAAAATTATTGTGCATTCTTTTTTAAAATATTTAATAGTCTTAATTATATGAGTACTCGTCTAAATTATTTCTTAAATACCTCACTTAGTTAACACAATAATAAAAATAAGTTTAAAAACGTCAAATATTTTGAAGTACATTAACTAGCCAAAAAACTAATATTTAGGTCGTGGTAATATAATCTATTTGAACTTAAATAAAAGAGGGAAGTCCTGCTAAATTAACAATAACATAAAAATAGTCCTCTATACACAAATTAAAAAATAAAAATATTTATGTAGCTGGTCTCAATTAATTTGTGATTTAATTGCTCTCCGAATAAAAGTTGAGAGTGCGGTGAAAAAAAAAACAGAATAGAAGTTTGAGAGTGCCAATAATAAAATGCATTTTCCAGTCTTCTCTCTCACCTCTCTCAGACTCACTGTGATAAGTTACAGTATAAATTTTTGTATTTTACGATAAAGAAGAGCTCTGTATAGTAGTTCAGTATAAGCGTTTACATAAACAAGAAAGGTGAAGGTAAAGCAGAAAGACAGTGGCGAGAAGTTAGATTTTTCATTCTTTTCTTTAATTTCTCTTAAAAGTGAAGACAGCTTTACTCTTTAGCTTTGCTTTGTTTCCCTGTCTTTTTGCTTTGCTTCTGAGTTTTCTTTCATATCATTCATATAACTTTCTCTCCTTTTCTTGTTTCTTTTCTTCTCCATTGTAATTACTAAAAACTCAAACTCACAAAATCAGTAGAATTAGAATACTTAACATTCTTTCTTGTTTTCCGATCGGATCTGAAAAAGAAGTCCGAAAAACAATACAGGAAAAAGCAGTTACAAAGCAAAAGATTGTTTCACTTTTCGAGTGAAGTTCTTGAAAGGTTCTCTGTTTCGCTCTAGCTTTTGTTGAATCTCAACAATCATGAAAGATTAATTTACTGTTCTCAGTTCTTTAATCAGGTAATTTTCAAGAACCCGTTATTTGTATTTATTTATTTATTTCTCTGTCTCTGTTTTGGTTCTTGTGGAAGAAGCAAAAGAGGAAACTTCTGAACCATGCAAGATTTCTGTTGTGAAAGATCTTTGATTTCTGCTGTAATGCAATTGGGCAGTTAAAATGTAATCTCTCTAAATTTTAAGTTCTCTTGGATTTTAATTAAAGCATTTATCCGCTCTTAGATTTCTATTAATAGGAATGAAATGGACCCTAATAGAGTGTAATGGTTAAAGTTTGTTCATACAGATACAGCCGATTCCAGCTAGTTTTATGTTGCGTCATAGTTGATTGATTTGTTAATTATAAGTTAAGTAGCTTTTTCTTGTTAATGGGAAACTGTGAATGATATTGTACCTCTTATTTCTCTGCCAAAGATTCCTTCCCATTTGTTTAAGGATTTTGTGCTACATTTTGGGATCATAGAGCCAATTTCAGATTTATTACTTAAAAGAAAAACCTTTGTTCAAAATGGCTTTAAGTGCTTATTTTGTCTCATAGAGTAAGTATGAGGTAATACTCTCATTTTTTGATTGTACAATGGCAGTGTCTAGGCCAAAAAGCAGAATGGAGTCACTTGCTGAAGGAATTAGTTCCTTACCAAACAGTCATACTTCCTTCACTCCTATTAAGGGTGACGCCTCCTCAGCTTCCCGGATTAGCCGTCCTCCCCATCCTACATCAATGAGACAATCTAGATGTAAAGAGTTGTCCTTCGATCCAATAGCTACTGACTTTGGGTCAAAGACAATTGATACCCCAACAGGGTCGGTGACTGCTTCTAAGTGTTCATATAAAACTTCCAGTAATCGTATAAAGAGGGATAATATGTCTGATTCGATGAGACACTATTCGACTAAAGGAAAAGAGGACATAGAAGATACTCTTGATCAACAATCACAAGAATGTTCACTGGATCGGGTTTTAATCTTTGAAACCAAATCATCTATCAAGGATTTACTTCATGATAACAAGAACACTACTTCAAGTAGCTTTGTGGAGCGCAAGGATTATATGTTACATGCTGTCGCCAGAGGAGATGCTGACCTTTTAACATCTCAATCTGGAATAAGCTATTGTCCTAGTCCTCAAAACAGCTTTTACACTGCAACGCAGTACATAGAAGCCAAACAAAGTTTCACCACTACAGAAGTCATCAGTGAATGCGCTAGCAGCATTGCCAAGTCTGGTGAAAGCGGTGATGTTAGCAACTCGTGTGATATCAGTGAGAGCAGAAAAACAAGCTTCTATAGAGGCAGCACAGGTAGTGATATCAGTGACGAAAGCAGTTGTACTAGTTTCAGCAGTGCAATATATAAACCACATCAGGCAAATGATACAAAGTGGGATGCAATTCAAGCCATTAGATCTCTTGACGGAACACTGGGATTCAACCACTTCAGACTTCTGAAGAGATTGGGAGGTGGTGACATAGGAAATGTTTTTCTAGCACAGTTGATTGGCACAAGAGATTTCTTCGCCATGAAAGTGATGGACAAAGCAGCTCTAGAGAGTCGCAAGAAAATCGTGAGAGCTCAGACAGAAAGAGAGATACTGCAGTCTCTGGATCATCCTTTTCTACCAACACTCTATTCACACTTTGAAACAGACAAATTTTCCTGCTTGGTGATGGAATTCTGCCCTGGGGGAGATTTGCATGCACTTCGGCAAAGACAGCCAGGAAAGTTTTTCCCTGAGCATGCTGCCAGGTTAGGCTAGTTTTTTATTGAATATTTGTTGATGTTGTAGCTATTTTACTTTGAATCTCCATTCAGCTGGAAGCGTTTTCTTTGTCCATGTATCTATATATTCAGGACTTCTTTGATCTGATGATCAGTTTCATGGTCAATATGTTCAGTTCTTGCTGCAATCGTAGTGATCAAAGTACAATACATTAATTTCCCGATAAACCAGTCTTCACATATGATTGGTTTTGGTAATGTGAACATATCTCTTATCACAACCTGCATTATTATCATGATTTAAGGGTTCCAAGAAACCTTGTTAAATTGGAATTCTTTTTCCTAGATCTCTATGGCATAAGGGAGATCCTGCATAAATAGTAGTTAGGTTAGAATATTATTGTTTGGCAAATTCTCTCACCTCTAGTGGTCTTGCTGTTCAACCCATGATGATGCGTGTTGTCATATTCAGCACTATGTTTATCACTTATCACTGTTCACTTGATGTCAGGTGAGATAAATAGATTGCTTATTTTACCTAACTCTCTTCTCTTTTACTCAACATTAGGCTCAAAGTGATACTTGCCTTTTATCCAATATGCAGATACTGCATTTATATTATTTTCTTTACCAATACATGTCGACATTCCTAAGTAAATCATTCAGTTAAGAAACGGAAACTGACTGGTGTAGGGTTTGTAGCGTTGGTTATTAGCTCTGCTAAAGAGTCATAGATAATGGTGTAGTCTTCTCAACTCAAGATTAGTTTACTCATTGAAGATCCAGAAATCCAGTCTTTGATGATTTTGTACAGGAAATGTGATGACTGTTTGTTGTTTTCAATATCATGCACAAAATCACAAGGACGCCTTGATTCAATGATGTTAACTTGCACTTGTTATCTTGTGTTTTGGTGTATAGGTTCTATGTAGCAGAAGTTCTCCTTGCTCTAGAGTACCTGCACATGCTTGGAATCATTTATAGAGACCTTAAACCAGAGAACGTTTTGGTTCGAGAAGATGGTCATATAATGCTATCTGACTTTGACCTCTCCTTGAGGTGTGCCACAAGTCCAACTTTGGTTAAATCCTCAAATTCAAGTTTAGAGTCGAAGACTTCATCATACTGTGTCCAGCCTGCTTGTATTGAGCCATCTTGTATCATCCAGCCTGCATGTTTTTCACCGCGTTTCCTAAGCAAGCCCAAGAAAGGAAAGAGCACGAAACAGAAAACAGAGATGCACAATCAAGTGAGCCCCCTGCCAGAGCTCCTTGCTGAACCAACAAATGCTCGATCCATGTCTTTCGTGGGGACACATGAGTACCTTGCTCCAGAAATCATTAAAGGCGAGGGACATGGTAGTGCCGTTGATTGGTGGACATTTGGGATCTTTCTCTATGAGCTCTTGTTCGGGCAGACACCTTTTAAAGGAGCAGGCAACAAAGCCACCTTGTTTAATGTCATTGGCCAGCCCCTGCGATTCCCTTCATCACCTAGTGTTAGCTTTGCTGCAAGGGACTTGATAAGAGGTTTACTTGTGAAAGAGCCACAGCATCGCCTTGCATATAGGCGGGGCGCTACAGAAATAAAACAACATCCTTTCTTTCAGAGCGTGAATTGGGCACTTATCCGATGTGCTAGTCCTCCTGATGTACCAAAGCCGTTCGTGCTACATGATGTCCCCAGCGCACCAGCAACAAAGGTCCCAGGCGCTGATGTTAAACCTGCTGATAATTATTTTGAGATTGATTTCTTCTGAGTAAACTTGTTTACTTAGCACTTAAGTCCATGTCAGGTTATATGAAGAGCCCCTTAGGAAGAACACCGATTTGTTGTTACCTTTCATATGAAAATGTAAAGTGCATACTCTCCTGAAATGCTAATGCATAGGAATTGGATATTTGAAGGTCACTTTTCTAGTATCTTCTTTATTTGTCAATGTTTATGCTTGCTGCTATTTGTTGTCCTCTTCTCTGGTTGATAAAATCTTTGAAGATCACTTTTCACCATCACTCTATCCACAACCACCACCAACCACCACCTCCACCATCACAACCACCACCACGGTCAACCACCACCGCGTCAACCACCACAACCACCACCTCTAGTCACTACCACATCAACCCACCTCCGCCATTACAACTATCACCACTGCCAACCAGTCAACTACCACCAAAGCTACATAGGGATGTCAAGCGGGGCGGTGCGGGAACGGGGCGGGTTTTCTCTTAACCCGCAAAATTTTAACCTGCCTCACCCTGCCCTGCATAGCAGTTGCACCCGCGTTCACCCGCCCTGCATCCACACCTGCGTTCGCCCGCCCCGCCCCGCATAAATGTTTTTTTTTTTCATTTTGTTAGTTTTAAATTTTTTTAATCTTTTGGCTAGAAATTTTTTTAAACTTTTACTATATTTATTCGTGCTTTTTATTAATTCTAACGATTACAGAGTACCTCAGTTATGGAAAGAAGAAGATAAGATACTTATGAGAATTAAATCTTGCACATATGCAATAAAAGTAACTTAAAAAAAGTTTTTGATATCATAATGCCTCTTTGTTTTTTAACTTTTTATATTTGATAAAAGTATATATGTTAGTTTTAGGAAAAAGATTCAGTCAAGTAATATCACCTCAAGTAATATTCAATGAACTTTTAGATTTATGCCACGTGGATCATAAAATAATTAATGGCTAAGATTCATTTTATTCTTATACTTATCGATCAGAAGAACTAATATTGTCAAAAATTACTAACAACAGTCGTTAAGATTAATCATGTTTCTTACTTTTAAAATGCAAAATAAAGCAAAATATGGGCAGCAGATGAATTTTCCGAAGAATCGTTGTTAAGAAATTTGATAATATTTGGCACCAAGTACATAGCAAAGATGGATACTTGTATTTGTAATTTTGAGTTATTATTTGTAAAATTGCTTTCGAAAAATGGAAGAATTATATGCACTACATTTTACTTTATTTTGCTTCAATATATTACGTTAAACCCGTCCCGCCCCGCCCCTCCCATTGCCATCCCTAAAGCTACACAATTTTATTACTATTAACACCACTGGAAGAAAAGCGCACAAATTTCTTGTAATACAAGTAGTTTAAACTCATTTCTACTAAACTATATTATAGTTAACTTTCAGGATTTCAGATTGTCCTCAACGTATACAATTGAAAATATACTCTCCATTAAGCAGAGTTTTGTGTAAACCTGAACTAGAGTTTATCAACTTGTTTTCTAATTTCCAAGAGGGGAAATTATTCAAATGTGTTCCTTTCTATTTCTATCCACACCCACCATTCAGAGTTAGAAAAGTTGGTAGCTGGAATATGGCCTAATGCCCACAACACGCACCTTAATTTTTTTATCTGTAGTCCTTCTGATTGACCCTTTACTCTCAATAGCACTAAGCTCCAGTCCCCTAGCCATTTTTTACGAGCGAAGAAGTAAAGCGGTCAAGATTAAAATCACAATGTCACAAGTTTGACTCTTAAGTTTAATCAATTTTTCTCTATGCTTTATAATTAGCTAATTGTTGGTAAGGTAATTTCTTGAATTGTTTAAAATATTTTTCTTAAAGAAAGTATTTAGACAAAAAATGAGTTATCACGAAGTCATTTTTTCGTGTGCAATATTTCAACTTTTATCAAATATGTATCACTTATTTCAATCAATACCTAAACCTTGTCGTCAACTGTTAACACTAAAAATAACAGAGTACCTGTATATCTATATCAATCATCCATATTTTACCACTAACATATGTCACATACATTTATAATTAATTATAAAATGTCAACGATTATCATTCCTCACTGTTCAATTTCTCCCCCATAATATCCAAAATTCCAAAATCTCCCCAATTAGTCCAAAAAGGAAAATTGTCCTTTTGAGTTGAGCAAGCGACCTAAGACCAAATCATTAGCCCATTACTTGTTACTATTTAATCCTTGGCTCGTTCTCTCCACGTTCCCATTTTAATTTCTCTGCTCTCCACCAATCTCTCTCTCTCTAAAATGGCCGGAAACTCGGAGGACATCGTCACTGACGACGTTAACTTCGGGTTCAAACGTTCAGAAATGTACGAACTTAAACTCGCCGGGACTGCTACCGTTTACGATCGTCACGTTTTCCTCTGTTACAAATCACATGAAACTTGGCCTTCTCACGTTGAATCCTCCGACTCCGATCCACTTCCCAATCTACTCGCTGCTTCTCTTAGAGCTCGTAAGGATGAAATCAAGCTTAAGGTTAGTTTTTTTCAACTAATTTCTTTAGTCAACGGCGTTACATTGAGCTTCGTTTCTATTATTTTTAGTTTCCGACTCACAAATTAGCCGATCGGTGCTTTTTAGATCTAGTTTAGATAATAGTTTTGATAACTTTTGATCTAATATAGATAACATTAATGTAGTTTTTAAGCTTTTGGAAGTTTATATAAAAGGATTGAAGTATATATACTGACAGTATAAATGATTTGTGCATACTACTAGTGTTGTTTAACCTCCTTAGCTACCTTTTTTTTTTTATCAGGTTACTCATAAATACTTATTGTAGATATTTACTTGTACTTACCTTGCAATGAATTAATATTGCATAGTCAGTGCACAAAACTTAACCTCTATGCGAAATAATGAAAAAATGTGTCGTATAATTTTAAGAATTCTACACTAAATGTTTTAAGTTCGATACAAAGTTTATAAGAATTTTACCTGGTCGATTAGAATGCAATTAGTAGCTTTAAGTTATTAGCCTTTCAAATGTGTAGTGGATAAATTTAATACACAATATAAGAACTCTATCCGGTCAATTAGAATGCCTTTAATAGTTTTATGATGTTAGCTTTGCAAGTGTGAAATTGATTTTTTTTGTGTTTTTTTGCCTCGGTGATTATTTGCGGTAGACTGTTTTGACGATTTGCGAAGTACGTGAAGACATTGGACTATCTGATGGAGATGTTCTGATTTTTCCAGAAATGATCAAATATAGGTAATATTCGACATTCTTCTATGGGGTTTTAATTCTATTTTGTTATTTTTATTTTTATATCATTGTATTAAGCTGCAGAAAACTCTTCCTTCTTCAGTATTATGTGTGAAGTAGTGATGAAATGCATAACTAGTCTATCTGAAAGCAAGAAAAGAGAAATATACATCGTGATTTTGACTTGATTCACTTTTTAACAACCTTATGCTATTTCGAAAGAAATTAGTCTGAGTAAAATGAAAGTACCCACACTGATGTACTCTTCTATCTCAAAATATTTTTGGCACTTTTTGCATTTCTAGATTCAGACCAGGTGAAATTTGACCAACATATAAATATGTGCTTTTTCATTTGAGAATTGTAATGTATAGTATTTTTTTTAGTAATTTCTAAATATCCAAATTTTAATTAAAAATAAATGAATTAATCTAATTCAATTTAATTCCAATAAGTTAGTCAAATTGACTCTCAATTAGCAAAAAGTAACAAACAAGCTGGGACCAAGGGTGTACGTTTTTAGTTACCTCTTGATTTTGTTGCGAAGTATTTGACCTAACCATTGTATGCATCTCCAAGCATTACCTTACATTGAGCTCGAGTTTATGTCTGGTACTTTTAATCAGGAATTTGAAGGAGTCGGATGTCGATGCTTTTGTTGAGGATGTGCTTGTGAATGGCAAGCCCTGGACTTATGGAACGCAGGAGCCACTAAGCGGTTCTTATGTATTTGTCTGTTCTCACAACAAGCGAGATCGAAGGTGTGGTGTCTGTGGACCAGTTCTGATTGAGGAATTTAGCAAGTTGATTGAGTCCAAGGACTTGAAAAACGAAGTTCATGTGACAGCTTGTTCCCATGTTGGTGGCCACAAGTATGCTGGTAATGTCATAATCTTCAGTACAGATAAAGAAGGGAAAATTGCTGGGAATTGGTAAGCCCTAGTTTTGTACTTATAGAGGTGTTCTTTTAGTTTCCATTAGTTTCTTGACCAGTTCCTTAGTATGTGGCTTTTTAATGGATCAAAGTGGTGAAGCTCCTTGTTAGACTGTCAATTTTACATATATATGTGATCCGTTGTCATAATGCAGGTATGGCTATGTTACCCCAAGTGATATACCTATTTTGCTTGACGAACAGATCAGAGAGGGAAAAGTCATTGAAAGACTTTGGAGGTTTGTATTGGTTGTGCTTTGCTATGTTTCTTGCTTGCATGATTTGGGGTTTGCTATATACATGGTACGAATTCTTTATTTAATTTTGAGAAAATCCCATAGTGCACTGTTCCAGATTATCTTTTTGCAGTTTCCTTAACAGAACCAATCACAATGAGTTTAATGTACTTAGCCAAGCTCAATTGCTATTTGCACCATGCATCCACCAATATTTCTTTTTTTTTATCCAACGTCAAAAATAGCTTAATCACTGGCGTCAGTAATAGAAATATTGCTGAGTGATTATAGGATAATGTTGTATAATTGCGTCATTTGCTTATGTTGTCAAATTTGCCTTAAAAGGTAAAAAAAAAGGGTTGTTATAATAAAATTTAGTCCATTTGTTTTTCATGCTTGATCATGATCTTTGCTTTTATAAAGCTTTAATGATTGCATGTTAATTAATAAACTATCTTAATTAAAAGTAAGTAAAGAGTGGTAGAGGATGATGGATCTTTTGCTCTTGTTATTTGGATCTATCTTCTTTTCTCTGTTGCTTTTTTGCTGGGAGCTGGATGCTATTCTCAGCATTCATTTTGAGATGGGCATGGATGGGTATGTGAAGGGTTTGAACAAGTTAGATCAATTTTGCTGACTAGTTATGAAATAGAGTGCAAAAGGAAAAGCCTTTCCAATTATAGAACAGGGAATTTCTCACATTCTAAACTTCTTATTTGATCTCTCTAAGTTTCAGTTGGAGGCAATCTCTTTAGCAGTTGCAAAGTTAAATATGTTCTGCTCCTTTTCTCATATTATTGTGAGTACATTCATGAAACACTTTATCCTGGTTAACCATAGGGGCCAAATGGGACTGCCTGCTGAGATAACTGATAAGGTGAATGAGCAGAGGGTTCCCAATGGAACCAGTGCGGACAAGAAAGGGGAAGCGCCTGTAGAAACTGCTAGTCAGGGCTGTTGTCAAGGTACTGCAGGATTTTCTTGTTGTAGAGATGCGAGTGCGGAGGTGAAAGAGGAAAAGGGGCAGGGAAGACTTCCGTGCTGGTCAGAGAAATGGGACCGGCCTGAAGTTTTCACAGCCATTGGCGTGGTTGGAGCAGTGGCTTTTGTGGCTGTTGCTTATGGATTTTACAAGAAGTCACACTGAAATGCTGTCACGAAGTGCATGCACCCAGAGATTCCAGACATTGTCTTTTTCAGAGAATAATGATGTAACTCTAAACCATGGCATTTGATACGTGTTTGGTGTGAATTTTTCTGAAGTAAACGCAGAGTATGTCACACTATGGAGATGAGCTCCTCTTGTTCTCTTCAAGTGAGCACCCTAAAAGGGCTTCTTAGTTACACAGCTCTAACTAGTTACAACAGATACCTGCAAGTTTAGTCTACACTCTACAGATATGCTTTAAATTCCAATTCCAAGTCTGGAAGTCTTGCTTCCTGGTTGTTTTTGTTAAAGGTGAATAAGGCTTTCTATGGGCTTGTTGGAATTACCTCGTTTATTGTTGTGTTGGTATTTCCTTTATTGTCTGGGGATGTTGGATGACTTGTTGAAATTTTGTGAGAAATTTGACTTTTGCTTTGCGACATGAATTTCACTTGACTATTATTTTTCATTTGAAATACTCCTTAAACTAATATTTCAATATTTCAAATACAGAGTTCAGTATTTACACATGCTGATGGCCAAATCATTAGGTGAAAATACTAAACCTCAATATCTGTGAATACTGAACTATTATTTCGTAGCCAAACGAACAGCTTTGAAGCAATTTGTTGACAATAGCTAGTAATGGGGTGGTGTTTACTTTCTCCTATAAAAGAGAATGATTGTCATCTGGGTCCCTTTTAATGCGCGCTCTCTTTGACCACTTTGACCTCCTGGAAAACTTTGCAGCCATTCTTCATTTGAGATTACATACATACCCCTCGACCGATGCATATTCTACCGTATGACACACACCAGTCATTTGGTGCATCTTTGCAAGAATTGGATATGTACAATTCTAACTTAGTTTTGAAGGAGGTTAGGAATCATATCCCCCCTCCCCACCAATCAGGTGGCTTTTGATTAAAAATACAAAACCACTCGAGATAGTAGATTCTTAGTATCTGAGTCTCTTGATGAAAATCACCAATTTAGCTTGAATAAGGTAACTTTTTCTTTTTCTAATTGACTATTGGTTGTTTATTTTCCTCATTTCTGTCCTTGAAGAAGATAGGAAATAATTATGGAGGGGGTGTTCCAACTTACCTTAAGCGCAACCTGGTGCACAAAGCATTCCGCGTTCATGCATGGTTTGTGGAAGGGCCGCATCTCAAGGGCAGGGACGGCTCAACGGAGCTCGTGGCCTAAGGCGAAACCATATTGAGAGGCCCTCAAATTTATTTTATAAAACACTAAAAAACAATTTTACTTTCTAAATACCAAATTAATCATTTAAGACACAAAATAGCGAATTAAAAAAAATTAGGAAGAAGAGCATAAAGAATAAAGTGGTGGAATATTGAGGTACGAAACTCAAAGCGAAAATTTTAATTTGACTATCATCACAAACATAAAAAAAAAAATAAACGTACATAGCGTAATAGGTTAAGTTTTGAGCATTAATAGTGTCACATTTTTTTACACCTTCTGATTAATTTAAATATTAATTGAAGTTCATAATTAAGTAGCACTCATTGGCGAGATATTTAAAATAAATTATTAATAACCTAATATAATATATTAAATTACACTAAAAAAAATTGGTGCATGAATACTTTTGTGTTCATAGGGTTTCAGAGAAGATTGTAAAATAAATTCATTATATTGTCGATGTATAACTTAATTTCTATATAAAAAGGATAAGTTTAAAATTGAAGAGTGAAGCAAATATACTAATAATGAGTGAAAAAAATATCGTAATTTATAAACTTATTGGAATAAAATAACCTCAATCAAATAGTAACCAAAAAAATACTGTAACACTTTTATTTATAATAATTATTTATATAAATTATATAATAATAATAATAATAATTTGGGGACTTCAAATTTTGGGGCCTAAGGCGACGGCCTCACTGGCCTAGCCTTAGAGCCGCCCCTGCTCAAGGGATGTGATATAGACAGCCTACCCTATCGCAAGCAATAATGGTTGCTTTCACGGCTCGAACTGACCTAGGTCATACAGAAACAACTTTATCGTTGCTCCAAGGTTCCCTATATTTGGTGTTTCGACTTACCAAATATGTAAAATTATTCATTCCTCTTACTTTTCTCTTGTTTTCCTCCTTTCACCCCAACCAAACATTTTTGAGCTAAAAAGACAAAAGGAAAAATACTGAGCTGAAAAGATAGGAAATGGACTTTCTTTTGTCAAATTGTAGTGTAGAATAAATGATGCCCTGCCAAGAAAATAATCTAAATCCCAAGTTTATGTGCAGATATATGATATAATAATCATACAACATTGGTCATGTACCCCTTCCAAAACTCAGAAAGCAAATGAAGTTTACTGCAATTATCAGCACAACTCGAACATCTAGCACATGAAAATGTCATGTTCTAAGTTTTGAAATCATTTCCTCCAAGAGAGCAACTGACATCCCTGCTCTCTCTCCAACTCCTTGCTCAATTTGTCTCATAACATGTTCCAATAGCAGAATATTCTTTGGCTGTTTATTCTTTGGGCTGCAATGAGAACGGTCTCTCAAAAGCAAAAGCAGTCTTTTAGCATTGTCTCTGGCTCTCCTTGTCCCATCCACACTCAACTGAAGCAGTTCTGCCATAGCTCCTTCCCTCAATATCATCCCTCTGTATCTCTCTCTGCAGCTCTCACATATTAGGAGTAAAATTGCCACTGCATCTTCTTTACATTGTCTTGAACCTGTTGAGACGTAATACAATTAAGTAATTAAAAGTGTACTCTCTCAAACAACTTAAGTTTTTAGACGATATAATCACTCGACTCAAAATGGTATTAGAGCATGCAGGGGCGGCAAAGCCTTAATAAGAGGCCTTAATATATATATATATNTAAATGAATTTAACATTGATTGCATCACAACTGAAATGAGAGAACCCAGAAAACATACTTCCTTCGTCCCAACTAAGGTGACTCCTTTTTTTTAGTAAATCCCTTTCTATATTTGGTAACAATTCTACTTTAGATTTTTCTTTTTACCATTAATGAGATAATTTCTAGCCCACAAATTTTTATAATTTATTTAAGATTACAAGTTTCAAAAGTCTTCCTTTATTTTATAAACTTCATGTCCAGTCAAACACTTTCATATAAATTGAGACGGAGAGAGTATAATTTATGTAAGAAAAATAAATAATATGTTAGATTATTAGATATAGTTACGTAACCAACTAATGAATAGAGAAATATATTTAAATAAAAAAATAAAATAAAATTGATAGAAAACTATTTTAGTTATATTAATTAGAGGAAGAAATTGAGTTATTAAAAATTAATATGACAATAAAAAAATAAATTTATCAATAATAAGAGATAATTATATAAATAATATATTATTATATATTAAAAAAATAATAATTTTAGGGCCCTTAAATTTTTTGGGACTAAATTGGTTCAGGGCGAGGCCGCCCCTGAGAGCATCCAAGAGGTCCTAGATTCAAATTTCACCGCTTCCCAAAACATTAAAAATATTTCCACGGATTTGGACTTTGGCCCATGAAAAAACAAATTTCCATGTGTTTCGGCCCTTGAAAAAAGAAGAATCAGGCCGACAGGAGTGTTGAGAGTTGAAAAGACAAAATACAATTAACTAATTATAAGTGTGAAACTTTTAGACGAGATTATGATGCAATTAACCTTCCTCCATGGCCTCAACCAAACACTGAATTGCTCCATCTGTTCCTGCAGCTTCCTCTAGTCCAATTCTTGATAAAGAAACAATATTCTCTAGCAATACCATGGCTTTCTCCACAATCACTTCTCCTTCTGTTTTCGTTTCCGACGCCAGGCTAATTAATCCAAGCAGGGTAGCTACCCCACCAGATGAAACAATAGAAGGGATGAGCTGATGGCAAGTTGAAAGATTGTGAAGTATAGACAAGATGTCCAAATTAGCCTGCAAGCTCATGCTGTTGTAGGCTTGTGAATTTAACAATTCAAGTAGAAGTGGGATAGTCCCAGATGCAGCAATTTCCAACTTGTTTGAAGCACAAGAAGAGAGGGTCAAGAGAGCTGCCACTCCTAACTCAACTAACAACTCGTTTTCGCATTGAAGCACATCTAATAACACTGGTATAGCCCCTGATTTTGCTATGAGTATCTTGTTCCTGCAACAAGCATATTCACAATTTTAGTTCTGAAAATCAACGAGGTATAGATACACTCGTGTTACTTAAATATTGAGAACAAATTTTGTTTTTGGTATGTTTGATACAACGAAAGTCATTTTCCATAAGAAATGTTTCCCTAGAAATGTTTTCATGCATTTTTCTCGAAAATGACTTCCATCGTACCAAACACGTTCCTGAATGAAGTATGCGCATCCTAACCTTTCACTGCGAAAAGCTATACTAAGCAGAGCAAAAAGTGCAGCTTCAATGACTTCATAATCATTAGTACTCAGCATCAAAATCAATGGAGGAACTATGCCTTTTTCGACGATCTTGTGCCTTTGCTTGCTGGAAAATTGACCAAGTTGTCTTGCAGCAAGGAGCTGTGCTTGTCTATCACCAAAGAGGAGAGCTTCCACCACCATTTCTTCCATGGCTTGAAAACTCCCTCTGCCTTTAGTCACACTTGTTTGTTTATGAATATTTTTGTTTCTTTATATGTATATAAGGATATATGTGTTGCTTCAAGAGTATGTAATGTCTGTGCCTTTTCAAGATTCTCCTTTTAATCTAGAGTTCTTGATTTGAAGCAACTGATCCATTCCCTTTTCAACCCTTTCTTTATTTAACTAAGGTGGAAATACCTTGGCTTGAATCTTTAACTTCCCTCTGATGCAAGGAACTGTCGTCAGCTTTATCGCTTAGTTAACTTAATATCAAGAGATACCCGTCAATATACTAAAAATGTGTAAAATGCAGGGGTATCTTTGATGTGTGATGACTTCAAGATTTATTCTATTCAAGAATGAGGTTGAAGCACAAAATCACCATTTACTCATAAGAGTGTATATGAAGATAGCGTCATGTATTTATTGGATTGAGGTAAATACTGAATGCGAATAAATTTTTATCGTGAGTAAAGCCGAACTACCTCCGACAAGGGCACAGAATTTTAGGGAAAAGGCAGTAATCTTGATTTGGTTTGCCTAGTACATCGAAAATTACATAGTCAGCAACCGAAAAATCAAAGGAAAGCAGCCGTTATACATTCTGTTTTTGAGGAAATAGCTTCGCTTTTCCTTTTGCCTCTATACGGAATCCGCCGTAACTTTACCGAAATCAATGCATGCCACTGATCTTCAAGCTTTCCTTAATCTCTTTGCTTTGTAGTAGCTAGCTTTTTGACTAATACACCATTTGGGAGGATATAACAAAGGATTAAAATTCAAAAAGTATTAATTTTCACAATATAAAAGCAGTTAAAGGATGCAATACAAGTAATCATTACTTATCAACAATATATATGACTTTATGTTGTACTAGTTAGCCTAAAGAAAAATAAATATCAAACTTACAAATGAAAGGAACATGTTGCAGACTAAAATCTAAATATATAAAGTGTCTACCATTTAACACTTTCAGCGTTTAGATAAAACGATAAGACAGAATCTCAAAAATCACTAACCACCATTTAACACTTTACACCTAAAATATATCTTCAATGGATAAGCACAGGAAGTCGGATTAAGATGATTTCTTCACTGGTTGTGCACATTGGTCGTTGTAAATGAGTATTGTTTGAGTTAACATAGTATATTATATAGGGTAAAATATGCTATGTTAAGTGATGCATAAGAGAGTGACACGTGGAGTCGAAGACAAAGTATAGCTAAAACCGAAGACAACTATTTCATCTGCTGTTACCGGAAAGAATGTTGCTCATAAAGATGAAATAAATGTCTACCACCCGGCAGAGGCGGATCTAGGATTTGAAGGTGGCGGGTGCCACAATTTCCTTTAATGTACACCTTGTAATGACTAATATAGAGTTTATTCGAAACGTTTCTTTGGTTCATTTTTTTTTAGTTTATTCAGGCAATTTAACAAGCATTTTTTATTTGTAAATATGAAAATTACATCTCTTTCCCAGACTCGACTTATGGGATTTTACTGGGTATATTGTTGTATATGCAAATTACATCTCAGACATCAAGAAGCAAATATAATTAGCATTTTAAAGAAGAAATTATACCTTTATTATTAATAGCACAAATAAAATCAATATTTTCACTAGGAAATTACATCTTTTTTTGTATACTAAAAATAAATTTGCACAAGTAAAACAATATCTTCAATAAGAAAATTCCACCAATAAGAATAAGTAAATGTAGAATTAGATAAGCTACAAGTGTTATTCCCGGTCAATATTGCTGTATTTGTAAATATTAATTCTGCAAAATATAAGTTAA